TTTTATAGCTAATTGTGGATTGCTTTCTTTACTCATTAAAACACCTATTTTCAGTCTGATTCAACTATATAATCACTTTTTAACAATTCAGAATTACAATTATATGATTAGGTTAAATGACCTATAATAATCGGTAATTTTTTTGTGGTACTAATGTATAATGATCATAGAACATATTTATTTGTATCAAAAAAAAAAAAGAAAAAAATCGGTATAAACAAAATGGTTACTTTCAATGTATATTATCATATTATTTTTGCTAATGTTATTTCAAGTTCAAATTAATGAAATATATTATTTGGTGAACATGATATTATTACATAATATTTAAAAATTAAACTTTTTTACTTATTTATTCTTCGTAACTGAATATTTATACTCAGTACAGAACAATGTTAGTCGGGCTCCCTGGTTTATAATAAATTAAGCAATCAAAAATTGTTAATTATGAGAAATCATATTTTTTTTTTTTTTGTGGATTTTCCTACCTTTTTTCGATCACCGCCGAATAATACGTAAAATGTTGTACGTTTACTCGAATGTACCTAAATTGCCTACACTGAACGCCGTTCAAGAGGGAAAATTCGGTTTAGAATCTTTCCGGTATGCCACACTTCGATAAAATAATACATCAGAAACGTACACTACTTCTCTGCAAATAATATTGATTCCGTCGGCTAATAATTTGAAATCGGTTAATACGAAATTGGCGAAACGGACTAGAAAGACCACTGAAAATGATCAAAAATAATGAAATACAACATTTTCTCGATCAAAATATATAATGTACGACTACCGCGTACCATTCGATAGAGACGAGAATCATTTTTCAAACAAAAATCGTTTTCATACACTTCTGTCCAAAACAATTTCCCAGCTATTATGTAAAGTAACGGCGTACATGGTACAAAGAAAAGTGTTGCGCAATGAAACCGTGAAACGTAATTGATCGGTCAACACCTCGACTGACATTTGAGTACTAGAGCCCACCGGCTACAACGGTTTAACATCAAACGACGAAACGGCAACATCAAAGACGATTTCAGACGAACATCTGGACATCGAACGAGCGCGTATTGTTAGCGGAACAGTATATCGAATCGTATCGTTCGTTAAACAATAGTCTTCGGTTGCTGTTTACGAGCGAATAGAGGACAAGTATTGTTTCGTGACGGAGGAAAAACTGTGCATCCGTGGTAGACGAATGGTGTGTGGTTCACGGGATGTGTTACCGTCTGTTTCGGTAGCCCCGTCGGAAAACTTGTATCTGGTAACAGAGCATCGACGTTGTCGTATACGCCTCGGTTTTCGCGTCATGAACGACGACGAATAATTTTGATATTCAGCCGGCACGGGAACAGCGGGATTCGGTAACAGCGTGTTATTGTAATGCACATCGCGTGTTGCTGAACCGTTTCGTGGTCGAAAACCGCCAGCAAAAACGTCCACTTTCGTCTCGTTTCCGCATGGTCACTAGTACCGCAAATGACGGATACAATGCGTTGAAATATCTACGTTCGAATGAACGATAACGGTCAGTGTTACCCCTATCTGGATCAGACGTAACGAGCCCATGATACGCGGGTCACGGTTTTTGTGAAGTGCTGATTTGAATGTCGTTCGTAATTTGTGTTTCGGTTTCTATTTTCCACGGGGGAGGGGGAAGAACAAAAACGGTAGTTGAAAACAATGTCATGCGCGTGCATATACATTCCTAAATTATGCGTTTATATGATTCATGCACGTAACAGGAAATTATGTTTTATTTCGTATGTTACGATAAACAGTCAATTTCGACGTGTGTATTTTAAAATAATTTTATTCCGATAGGTCTACTTGGATAAAAAAAATTCAGTTTCGACCCGCTGGTACTATAAATCACGAATGTGGTCGATGTCGAAAATGTAATAAACGAAAAAAAAATTAGTTTAATTATCTGATTAATGGCCAGCAGTGTATTATATAGACTACGTTTCTTCAAGTTAAAAATGATGATTCATATTTTTTTTTTTTTACGTTGAAAGACAAACTATACTTACGAGTCTCCACTGTGGAAGATGTGCTTGAAAATGTATTTTTAACCGTGTACGATGGTGTTTTGGAGTCGATTTAATGTCCAAAATAGTATTTTCTTTATAAGTATAACAATGATAAAAATACAAAACGAATAAGTGGGAATTCAAAACGTTATGTTCTCGTCGTAATACATCCTTCGGGAATATAATTTAGCTCATTAATAAATATAAATATGTTAAATCTCGTGTTCGGTAATTAAAAACGAGTACATTTTTTTATGATCACATTAATGAATAATGAAGATCTCTAAAACAAAAATGATCACTATAAAGAAGATCGGATTGCTACCTATAATAATTTATAATCGACTAGCAAAAACAAAAGCAAACAAAAAAAATGCTCAAATGAAACATAAAACCACCAATGCTATTATATTGTATTGCACGTAAATTGTATTGGTATTTTTGTAAGCACGTACTCAAAAATTCGAACGAGTATCGAATAAACGAACATACCAATTAAGTTACGTTGTACAAGTGTTAATATTCATACACGTGTTTAATTACGAGCATCCGGTGAATGCATGGATGTGTATATATATATATACGTATATTTAATACACGTGTAGTGCTCATGGTACTACAAAGCATTTTCCAAGTAGGACTTGACATCATTTCGTGTATGCGATTTTTGAAAAGACTTTTGCGGCTCGATTAAAAACGTACACGTTTAAAATACCTGCGTGCATAGCACGGCCGTAGTATCCGACGTAAATTGTTTTTCACGAATGAGTTTATGTTTTAGAGAATAGTTTTGCTAAAATATAAGCGTACTTATTGTTGTGTCAGTAGTTGTCATTTGAGAACGTTGAACGAAAAAATATTATAACACAAATACATTGAACTATTGAATATCTATTCTGTGATTAATTCAAATATTTTCAACACTGAGAACGATGAATTATTTTATTGGAATTTAATGTAAGGAGAACAGAACATGGTAAATACGGATTATGAAGTTTGTAAACAGGCGTGAGATTTAATTATTAAATTTACAAACGTACGATTTAATCACCACCGTGCTGAATAACAATTTAAAATCGATTATAATATTAACAATAATAATAACAATTATTTTCGACGCGAGGCTCGGAGGATTTACCGAAGAAATATAATTATCTTGGGACACACGAGATTTATCGGTTTCATTTTACCTAGATCACAATAAAAAATTCGTTGTTTGTAAATCGTTTGATTTGCCGACAATTTGGCCAAACTTCCTTTTAAGCCCTGCGCTCTTTCCGCAAATGGCTTACCTATACACATATATACAAGCAGCGTACACATATAATGTTCACGTGTTACACGTGGAGAGAAATAAGAGGACGAGGTGAACATTAAACGTTGCGGTTACATTTATGCGTTGCAATTTATATAACGCGGGCTTGGAAATTAGTTTTCTTATTTATGTACGGGCGGCGGGAGCGATCGTCGTATATATTTTTTCCATGCTTGAACTATACATTAAACCGATCTTTGATGTTCGCAACAATTCTAATGATACGTACTCAAAGAATATATTTTCCGATGTATAAGCTTCTTTGAATCTATTAGCAGGAGAAGTTTCTTGGGTATTTTAATTATTGTTTTCAAACCCAAACTACTTTTTGTTTTTACATTAATAATTCATATTTCTAGAATTTCATGACATAACATCAATATAATTACGTAGCTTATGGCATATCGATCCCACCACATATAGTTTTCAGCAGTCGCAGTAAGTCGTGTTATTTGACGGAACTCTTGTCTAAGACTGAGTGGATCGGAAAAGAAATGTGTTCCGTTTTTTGCCAGTTTTCTGTTGATATAAATATATACGCACAAGGTTTGGAGTTTATATGGTACGCGAAGACGAAAGAAATCGATCGGCTTTGAACAGTTGTAAGTTTCCGTTTTATTTAGATGGGCTATGGGTCGTATATAAGGACCAGTCAGGAAATCGGTCCGATCCGTGTACACGCATCTGAAACGAGTTCCGTTTCGGGCGAATTTCGCTACATAATACATGTGACTCCTTCACGTGTGTCAACCAAACCGTGATACTGAAAACGTGTAACATTTTAATCGTATCACAAACATTTCCTAGCCGCTTCTATTCACTACAAACACGAATCGGTTCGCATAACAGTGAAACAGTGGCGATCCGATCAGCGTCGCGGAAAATATAGAGAGAAAAAAGAAATGTCTACGATTTCCACTTGTCAACGTTTTTATTTTATTTTATTTCAAGAAGAGCGAATACGAGAGCTTTCTAAAACGTACCCCATAGTAAGGCTGTTACCAGGTTCGATGTGAAAAATAATTGGAACTCAGCGAATGTATGCACACTATAGTATGCAGTTCCCCTCCCAAAGTGTGCCAACTATAAGTCGGATAAAATAACGTACCTACGCACACGTTTCACCGTGCGGATAAACGTACCGCTAGAGTAAGTTTTTTTTTTCCATAAAAAAATTTGTGATTTCAATTGCTGATATGAATACGCACTTTTTTTCAATGTTCAGTCAAAACGGATATCTACAGGGTGTTGTTAGACGTTAATTTTTTGTGTTCGGTTTATAATAATATGCGTTTATGTTTTATCGCGGCTTAAGTTTTATGTATACAACATTTTTTCTATAAATATTTGTAAATATTTGCACCGCATATAAACTTCTTGTTCGAGCAGATAATACAATTGTATTATCTACTTTGCACGCACCTACGCAAGACAGCCGTACAATTTGAACAACAACTATATTGTAAATATTCCAGTTTTTTTGTTTTCGTTTGTTTCATCCGCCATTATTCTTTGGCAAAAATAAATCCAATAAATTGTTCATGTTTCTGCCATGTTATAGAATTTGATTCGTCTGATTCTACCCCGCAACGTTTGTTACAGAACATTTATATTACAATAAAACTTTATTTAATGTTCAAACTCACCTGATAGAGACCAGTATCATAGCGAATATCAAATATTTTCCCAAAAGTGGGACTACTAATGATGTTGGTGGTATAATCTCGACAACTAGCAAGAAGAACACGTGAAGACTAATAAGAATTGATATGGACAACGTCACCTGAAACAAAAACCGTGTAAATTAATGTAAAATGAAACCATTTACGTATATCTACATATTATCTATTTTTATTTTTTATGTATTCATTAATAATCGTTCAATAATTTTTCATATAATTATTTACTGATTACAAATCGGATTCATAAATCGTAATCACAATAGTTCATAGTATACAATAAGATTAGGTTCTATTTGATGAATTGTAATATTTCATATGTATATACAAATTTTTTTAATGAACTTTGAGATGATTTTTTACGGGCACTTCGAAATAGGTTTTGTACATCAAACAATAATATTTATTAACTACAGTATAGAACACTTTTTTTTTTTTTTTGGCTTAAAAAGAGTAAATTATAGATTTTACCAACTAAATATTATATTTCTAGTTTCACGTGTGTTGGTTGACCGTATTAAGTAATAACATTCTACTGAAATAAAAATATCGGTTATCGTAGCGAATTATGCAAGCGTAATTGTAAACGTCTAGAACGCGAAGAACATTTATTTTGTAATGTTTAAAAAATTTCTGTTAAAAGCTGCTGACGAAGTAGAATGAAATAAAAAAAATTTAATCATCGAATTATTTTAAATCAATTGAGTATCTACGTTAAAGTAATTACGATAGTAACTCGGTGAAATAACATTTATAATAACAAAAATAATATGTAACACAATGTTTATGATACAACACAAACAATAATTTTTTCTATTGGTGGTCGAAAATATTTATTTGATTACATGACGTTTACTTTTTTTGAATGATGATTAAAAATGTATTGTAATGCACAGTGCCATGATAATTATATTTGCGTGTCACTGTGGCTTACTCGTAGGTAAATAAATAAAAAATACGTTTAGCTTAATAAGTGGTTGATGAAGATCGACAGAGAGTGTATGTATACCAATTGTGGTATTTTTTTGTTGTCACTCAGGGTTACTTAATTTTAGGTAGATTTTCTGTTCATAACATGCAAATGCGGTGTGTTGCAGTATAAAGTTGGTATCATGCCTAAAAAAAACAATACCGATAAGGAAAAACGATGAAATTACTGGTGATTTCTGTTTATTAATATATATGTATACTAATGGTAAACGTGAATAATATGTCATTTTCGGTCTGTTGATTATTGTTGATAAATGGTTAGAGTTCGTACATCGGGTGACGTTGAGAATGCGATTTAGAACACCGATGCTTACTCGTATACAATAATACAAAATATTTCCACCAGGAACTGGAACCGTATCGAAAAGAGCCCTTTGAATATCGAAAACCGTTATTTTGCCGAAATCCTTATTTAAGTTAATTCTTAAAACTAGAATCTCGCTGGAACCCATATTAAAATTGATTTAAATCTAAAACCTCAACAGGCAGATTTTTTTTTGTAAAAATGTTTACGATAATTTACTGTTGAATTCGGTTTCATTTTTAATTTCATTATTTTTATTTACACATATGTGTATATCATTAGTATGATATAAGAACTAAAAAAAAACACATAGATCTATTATTATTAGGGTTTTTTACATTAAAAAAATAATCATTCAAGTACCTACGGAATTCAAATATCTGATCATAAAATATTTCTGCGTGACAACCGATAATGATGTATGAATATTAATAAGAATTACAGAAAAAATAAATGTAATTTTATTTACTGCGCAGTATATACTTAAAGGTTTTCTAGTTAACACAATAACAATAAATTCTGAAAATACATTTATAAAAAACTAGAAATGTTATGATTGCGACTTTCGATATCTGATGTACAGCACGTTTGAGCGGTTAACACATGTATGTCGTTGTTAGTGTTATTAGTTGTTATCGTCTACACAGTATATATTCCCTATTACTCACTTATTGGTGGTCCAAACCAGGGACCAGAATCGTAACTCAAAAGAACCGGTTAACCTTTAAAATTTAGGAACAGTAATTGAAACTGGAACCTTTATTTCCAAAAATAAAAAACCGTAACTGTAATCGTAACCTTAATTATATAAGGGTTAATTTAGGTCAGTTATTTAGACTAGTAAAACTATGGTAAGAACTATTATCTTTGTCTATTTGTCTTTTCTGAAAAATAAAAGTCAAATATTTTTATGATTTTATTTTTTTGTGCTGTTAACTGTAATAGTGTAATGCATATAATAAGTAAACTTGTATTATTATTATTATTTTGTATGTTTATTAATTTATTACAATTCACAATGAGTATATCATCTATGTTGTCTATTAAGTATTAAATATAATTCACGTTTATAAAAAATTCGTAGCTACAACTACTGCTGTTTTTCCAGTATTAACTTTGATTTATAATTAAAATTAAATTTTAAATATAAGCTATTTATTTCATCAAATCATAATATTTCCCAACATAACAAAATATTTTACAAATTCTTACTACGAGTTGGAATAAAATAACTTAACCTAACTCAAATAAATATAATAGGCTGATATAATATATATATATATTTAATATATTTATAATTATTTTTTTACCTATTCATAATACCTTCTATTTTCATGAAATGAAACAATTACAATTTAAACAAAAATAAATAAATAATTTGATATTATTTTTTTAATTAATCTCTAATAATCAGAATTAACTGAAATTAACCAGTTTTAGAACCCTTACTCTTTTAATACACCAAAACCGAAACCGGAATTGAAAAAAACCTATAGGTTCCAGTCCCTGGTTCAAACACATTAAAAGTACATTAATATTTCAATTAATTTTAAAAATATAAAAATTATTATTTATTTATTATTATTGAATTGAAAATTGGTATTTACCACCATAATTGACGCCAATTAACACTACTAATAATATTAAATTATATTTTTTAATGAATCAAAATAGAACAGAAAATTTTTTTCTTACAAAAGTATTATATCAAACCTTGAAACCAATTTTTCATTTTTAGAAAACCTAAAATCAACCGAAAACTAATTTTTTTTTTTGACACCGCAAAAAAACCGAAATCAAAATTATAGTTATTTTAAGAACCAGTACCGAAATCAGAACTGATTTTTTTTTTTTTCTATGGAACCGTAAAATTTATCAAGATGTCAGTCTCTGATTTCCATGGTTCATTAAAATACCAAAATTTAGGTTGTTCTAAAACTCTCATTGAATCTGAATAATTAAAAAATTAAAATTAAAAATATGGGCTTTGGAATTAAACATGAGGTTAGATTAATAACATAATCAAAAACTCTTTTGAATACATAATTATATATGATTAACAAGGGCTCGTGTTCTTCGTCCGAGAGCGTGTAGTGTGTTCGCCGTAAACAGATAGATGTTCCAATGCAGATTACTACGTCGAACCGTCGAGTGAAGGAGTGATGGTATATGTGGGAATATGTGTGATTCATATGTTTCATTCTCGAAAAACACTTTTCGGGACAGTAAAATCAATCGAATGCAAAGGACTAGGAAACACGAACAAAGATCCTACATTCGATAAAGGCAATTTTGTTTCCAATCCCTCTTCGGTGGTTTAAACATAAAACGCGTTAGAAAAACGGTGAGTTCTGATATAGTGGCGGTAAGACGTCGACTATTTAACGGGTATAAACCGAACAAACGTCTGCCGGCGAATGCGCGATGATTTACTGCCGCATTCGGATTTAAAATAATATCACAATGCTGACCGATGCGCGCGGTGTGGATCGATACGGATGCTCCTGTGATTTTGGCCATATCCATTGTGTTCGCGTGAATCCATTGTCACCCCTCTTAATGCTCGTCTCTTATTTCCTAGCGTTTCTCTCCTCCGGTTGGAGCCGTCCAAAAGTTGCCGGACCGTTTTGTGTCCGCTTGAAAACCGAAGGCGGTATTGTTGCACTTAGCGCAGGTGTGTCCAGACAATAGACACATACACGTATATCGCAGTCCGCGGGGACAAAAGGAAAAATAGGAAACGGTTGACACGTTTGCGATTGGAAATCGTGTATCTATAGAAAATAATAAAGTATCTGTGACAAGCAGTTGTTATCTTCTTCTGTTAACCGATCAATTACCGTTAGTAATTTTCGTTAGTAGTATTCGTTCTCTAAGTGGTTCTTTTCACTTAGGCATCATAAGTTTTGATTTTAATCAAATTATTTAATCTCAGCTCAGGTCCAGGTATCTCTTTTTTTCTGTGAGCTAACATTTCATTCATCTCGTTTAATGCATGAATCATCTTATTGATGAATAACTCTAAACAAATGTGATTACTTTCAACCGTGCAGTACAATTGAAAAATATTATTACATCATGCAATATTAACGATTTATCAATCTTAATATTAAACCCTCAGATAAGTATGACGATAACAATAACAGAAAGTTTTGTTTGATATTCAATCCATCTATACGCACATATATATATATATATATTAGCGTTTTTAGGTATTGCAATTTTATATGATGGAACGAGAACTTTAAATATATTGAAAATGTCTTATTGTTACAATATCAATATTTTATTTTTTGAAACTTGTGTACTTTGAACTTGATAGTTTCAAGCGGAATGGTATTTGAAGAAAAGAAAACGTAAAAATGTTAGCTCTTAATGAAAATGTACCGAACATTGTTCGCGATAACGACAGCCGTAGTAAAAGAAAGAAAAAAAAGGCTTATTTTTAGATTGAAAATAGTTTTGATTAAGAAAATCTATTGGTTCCGTGTGCGGAACCCAGTTAAACTTATTTTTAAACTTTCGTCGGGCTATATTCTCTCAGTTTGTTTGATTTAAACGATTTCCCAAAACCTTTCCCAAACAAACATACGCACATAAAGTTTCTTTAGATCTTTGTTGATAAATATTGTTTTTTGTGTTGTTCAAAATCTATCGAATTGTCCACCAACCGTACACGGGATAAATTGACGTCATAGGTTCTTCGTTCCTCAAAATGGTTTTTTTGTTGTTATTATTTCTTTGGAAGTCCGTCGAGCGCGTGCATTTAACACGGTCATCGCATTGTATCCACGCATTAGTGACCTGCAC